ATATTAAGCCATTCCAGAGATATTTAAATTATAGTCAGAAACAACCTTTCTGAACAAACTAATATAAATTCCATGCTGAATAAACTTCTCGCTTATTATCAAATACATCATCAATTGTATCGACATTAATGACATCCCTGTGCACCAGTTGCGCTGTAATATTATTTTGTACTATATATACCAATAGTAGCCATAGTATGTAGGTAGTTTTCTTATAACCATGATCATGTTTGATTGACAATATTGGTTTAAAATATGTCCACATAATTTTTAGAAAGGACTTATTTGAATTGTTTTTATGGATGAAAGTACACGTTATATAATCGGTTAGAACCACCAAGGTGAATGAAAGTATTATACAAAACTAAATAGTCTGATCAAATACTTTCCAGATATCCTTGATAGGTGGAAATGGTTTGTATACTGTAATGCCTATATAATTAATCAAATGACCAAGGTATAATGGTTGAGCACAATTTATAGATTCTTCTTGTATATGCTTATTATAATCCAGCTCAACCGATTTGGACCCAGTATCAAATGCAGTTGTTATGTTATTTCTCATTAAATCGTACAAGGTAATATTATTTTTCCACACAAAGTCAAATGGGCAATCAAAGACATCAAGTTGCATACTAATATTTTAAACAAGGTAATTTAAAATATTAAATTTTTTATTTTAATAAAAACATATTTAAATGGGCATACCTATAATTAACATATTTCCCTATTAATGATAACAGGGTAATCGTTAATGAACCATAGTATACAGACCTCGGAGTTGTGCCATTAATTTCAAAATATTCAAACTTTTTATAGAATTAAAGTAATAATAGAATTTTTTAAAAATTAAATAACTATAACAATACTCGAATAATAACATTTTATACATAATCATTAAAAGTTGATGTGAAATATATTAGTCCCGTTATAGGGTAGTTCATAGTTAGCTAAAAATATAGTGCAATTGATAAAGGTCATATTCACTGATTCGACGAATGTATGCCATAGGTCGTGGCCATGGGATTCAATGTATTTGAATGGGTCAGCGTACAATAGCACAAAATCTTTAAACGAGCTCATTTTTATAATTTAAAGCCCAAACTCTAATGAGACAAAAACAAACAAAATAATACTAAGGAATTAAATTATTTTTATATTAACTTATAATAGATTTTCTAAAACGACTTGAACCACAACGTTCATTAAACAGTTATGTATTTTTAAAAGCACATTGTACACAGAACATAATTATTGCATTAATTGTATCATAATGTGATAACAATGCAATGAGTACGTTATAAATACAGTTTGCATTCAAAAATAAATACCAGTTTTATGCATGTAGGGGATGACATTTACAGTATGTTTACCGTAAAACCTGGTTTTTTAAACCATGGTCTAGGATTCCAAACTCCTCAAGGGGGGTGGTATAAGATTCCGAATCTTAGACCATAGCAACTGCTACCATCTGTAAGACTTCACACAAACTAAATTTAAATACTGCTTTTTATTGAATTTTTCTGTTTATATCTTGATTTTATAATTTTACAATTATATATTTTTATTTATGTAAAATCAGTATGTGTTATTAAAATATTTGTTTCCGCCACCTAAAACAGGAAGGGCGATATGAGCACATCCCGGCCCCACAGGAATTGGGTGTCGATATCATGTGTGACGACATCCCGGGGCCACTCGTGATGTAGGGGTCGGGCGACTGTATCGCCAAACGCTTGGGACCGGTAGAACAGTGTGTATAAGTAATGTATGAGTTGGTACCGGAGCCGCAGGGAGTTTCGGGCGGCCTCAGTAACCTCCGGGTGCCCACGACCGATCCAAACAGCCGGGTCCTGATCTATAGCAGACTTTTCGTTGTGGTTTCTGGCGAAGGGGTAAAACGCCCCCAATTGGTGCCACCGGCGGCACAATTGGGGTGTCGTGTTATCGTTGAACCCACAGATGTCGGAGCCCACCTACCGGTGCCATAAGTGAAAATGTCAAGATCATATTTATTAACTAGAACAATGATAATAAAAAGTAAAATGTTAAAACTCGTATGACAATTATACACTTTTAAATTACACCTAGTTAATTATTGTAGTAGGGTGAGTGCATTAAATATCTAAAAAATAATTCCTATAAAATGTAACTTGGACATTAATAGATAATGAGCCGAAAATTAAATAGGTATGTTTATTAAATTAAACTTACTTGTTAATAAATTTAAAATAAAGCACTTACATAATTAACGCCAAACATGTTGAACTCTAACATGCCCACCACTGAATGGTGTATCATAGGCCAGGTAGCGTAATTATCGCCCAACCAATGCCCAGTGTATCTGCCCGATGAGACATACGTAGTACGCGATAAAACAAACCCCCTTTTACCAGTAGTCTCATGTATTGCCCTAGTTATATTAAAAATAATTTTTAATTTTAAAACAATTTTATATAAAAAATGATCGTTATACTTTTGGGTACTAATCGCCTCGTATAAGGCGTATAGGTCGTGGACGTCGTAGTGTCGATACTGTTCATCCTGGCCATGGGTAGTAGTCATGCATATAGACCCCCACGATAACTGTTTCGTGTTGGACAGTGAATCTAGAAATTAAATGAGGTTAGCATATAATTTTTAAAATTTAATTTTTTTTCAAACTTACCTGATCTGATTGGTGGGTAATCGAGAGTATTATTTGGACATTTATCATCGAAATTTGACGGGTCATTCATATCCTACGTATGTAATAAATATTTAAATTAACGACTAAGATAAAATATTAATTATATATTAAAAATTATTTTTAATAACTTAAATGTTTGTGATAATAAAATTATGCAATAAATAATCTACGTACAATCCAAAGTGCATCAAAAGGTAACGCAGCATGGAAGTCCTTAATTTGTTTCCGCCACCATAAGTCCGTTATATTTTTGAAATAATCAGGAAATGCAGCAGGGCCATGTGGCCACATTCTCCCGTAATACGTATCCTTATCGGTGGGCACGTCCGCGGGGTTATGCCTGTCCTTTACGGCCACGCTTTTGGACCATTTGACAAACACGTCGTCTTTGTAACCATCGATAAAGGACTGGTACTTAGGGTTGTTGGCCTCGATGATCGGGTCTAATATGACTGTCCAATGAAAATTGTTATTGGTAATGGTACTTTTGAACAGCTCCGGGAGTCCGGCGAAAGCACCATGATCGTATGTAAAATCTTCAAACTTATCCATGTAGTCGATGTCCGCATACATGACGTCCTAATAAAATAAATTAATTTTTCTTAACTACGACAGGTTTATCAAAAATTAATTAAAAATATTTACCAAGGGTACTTTCTCTTTAAGATTTCTGTCGATAACCTCTTTGACACTTTGGGTGTCTTTCCAGCCGTATCGGCACAGTTGGTACCCGAGGCCCCAGAAGGGAGGCATCGTTGACCTCCCAATGACCGACGTATACAACTGTATCACGTGTTCGGGATTATCGCCCAAAAACACGAAAAAGTCAAGGACTCCGCCCATGGATTTAATAGATAAGGCGGGTTCGGGCAAAAATGTGTAGTCTATAACCAAGGACAGTTAATTTATTAATTGTTTTTATTTATAAATAACGTCAAATACAAACCCATGGCGTTGCTGTTGAGGAACAGTACTCCGTGAGCTTTACCGTCCGACTCGAGTACCGTATAGAATGGATGAACACCGTACTCGTTGAAATTACCCTAATACAATTATATATTTTTATTTATGTAAAATCAGTATGTGTTATTAAAATATTTGTAGCTTGTATCTATTCACCTCAGTAAGCGGTCTACCATTAGCAAATAGTGGCCAGTTTTTATAGTTTAAATCATGTCTCAGAGTCTGATGCACATTTTCACCTAGACCATACACATTCTTAGTAACTAGATTAGTAGCTATTTGTAGGAACTGGTCAGCGAATACCAGTCCACCTATGGATGTGTCGAAACTATAAATTTATTATAAAAATTATGATATTAATTGACGTTATTTATTACCGTAACTTTTACTCACACTTTAGTTTTGGTCTCTTTTCTGGTAATTACAAACTGGAAGTCCTTAGCGTCTGTACCGACATCTACCGAATACCGGCGCTTTGACTCATCCCTTTCCACTTTATCCATGAGATTGAACATCTGTTGCACCGGTACTTCATATCGCTTATTATTGGCGTCCCTTATCGTAAACCTCACAATATTTTCGGTCATATATTTTACGCTAAACTTTAGCATCTCGATCGACGGCATAGACTTCAGGGTCTTTTTAGCCGTCTCTTTAAGCTGTAGGTCAACCTCCTGGCCCTCATCAGTCTTTTTGAAAGCACCGGTCATTTGATATCCCACTTGTTTGATGTCCAGATAACATATGGGAACACCATTTGCCCCGGTATGCGGTATGTCCCATATACAACCCCTATCCTTGCATTGCTGTTCAGTTACCTTAAAGTCATCTAATATTTAAAAATTTAATTATAAATTTTAAATACTTATTATTTGTATCTCAATACTCACTCTCTATATAACAGTCCAAACGGTTGTTTAGGTTATCGCCTAAACAGTCGCTAAATACTAAAACTATTAATACAAGTAATTTCATTGTTTTTTGTTACTAGGTATAAAATAATAAAGTTATACAAACACCAGTGTTATTTATATATAATTTTTGGTTACGTCATATTAATCTCAATACACTAAAACAAATACATTATAAGTTATTATTATATATTATGGAATTTTTTATTTTTACTATAATCAGTAGCCTTATTATCTATAGTTAACTTTATCTATCAATATTTATTATTATCAAGCAACCTTATTTTCTAATAGATATAATGTCATTAATATAAAATAATGTCAATTGTTTAATACAGATAATATTTAATACATGCTTAATATATCTTTAATTTTTTATAGTAAATTTAATTTTTTTGACTAACTTTTTTAATGAATTTTTTACTACTTTATAATTGTAGTTTAATAAATTATAGTTTTTTATCCAACTTTATTTAATACAACTACAGACAGTACAGTAGACAGTTTTATATTTTTAAATGTATTGCTAAATATTTAAAATCAAAAATTAGAAATATAGGGGCATACACTTAAAAACGGTGTGGGGGAAACTTGAATAGCTTGCTAACTGCAAGTCCTAGACTTAAACGGTAAAAAGTAGTATTAACATCTATTTAATGCAGAACTTTTACAGTTAAAAGAAAATTTATAAAAATGTACAGTAATAGAAATAATGGGATGAACGCAAAGGTCATAGGTGCAGGTCAGTTCAGAGGTCATGGGTCAAAATGGTTGAGTGCATTTGAAAGCTCAATAGTAGAGCTTTCATTTAAGCCATATGTGGTAAAAATCTAATTGCTAATAATGGCCGTGCGATACAAAATGTAAGATATGATTTCCCATGTTAATGACAAAAATTTTGGAAATCAATGGATATTATTATGTCAGTACATTCTACCTTCTGTGCAAATAATATCACTGAAAGAATTTTTAAATCATTCCAATTAATAAAGAAATGGCAGCATTTTTAAAGTTTTGATTTATGTACAGTTTTTGCCAAAATTTCCGAAATTTTAAAAATTCAAAACGCTGCCATTTCTTTATTAATTGGATTTAATTATTTCTTAAATCACTTTAAAAATCAACTTAATTCTGCACTAAATTAAATTTCTAAATTAAATTAGATAATTTGTTAATAATATTGCATTAACTGTTAATTAAGTTATATGAATTACACATTAATTTTTTTATAATTAACTTAATTTAACTTAGTCCACAAAAAATTTTAATTAAATTAACTTTACCTTACACTTAAGTAATTAATCAAATTCATAGTTTAGTTAATTTACTATATAAATTAGTAGGAATATCCCTTATCGAAAGTAATATTTAGCATTTCTGTTGATATTTTAGTATTCTGTATCATAATTAGATT